TATATATATATATATATATATATATATATATATATATATATATATATATATATATATATATATATATATATATGATATATATATTTATTATATTATACAAATATGTGTATGCATAATTTTTTATTTCAGATGTAAGCAGTGGGTTATTGATTGCCGTTGCAAAGATCTTGATAAGAAAACTTCATATTAAAACTAAATAAATCATATGCTTTATGCAGTGAACATTTTGAGCCAAAACAATATTACCCGACAAATATCGGAGTCAAAAGAGCAATTTTAACAGCAATTCTGACCCTTTTTGATGTACCAAATCATCCTCACAAAATTTCTATTAAAAGAAAAGCACCTTCAAAAAGATTTCTTTATTCACACAAAAAAAGTAAATCAATTACAAGTGAACAGTCTGTAAAGTTACCAGTTTTTTCTAGTACAGACACCACCAACTCATTTATTAAATTATTTAACAATTAAATGTAAATTATAAAGAATTAAATGTAAATGATAAAGCTAAAAAATAGATGTTAAATTTTCAAAAAGTAGTAAACTTAAATTGTGTTAAGAATTATAATTTAAACAAAAAACTATTGTTTTTAAAAACACATTATAAAAAATGCAATAGGTCTGTTCAACATATTTGTGAACTTGCAAGGAAATACCCTTCTGAAAACCAGATTAAATTTTTTGAGAGTCAACTTAGAAAGAACAAGCGAACAAAACATGGAAAAAGGTGGGCGCCTTGTATCATAGTCCACAGGCATTTTGTATTTTGAGGCAATTTTTTACTTAGCCAAGTAAGACAACTCTTCTTGTTTTTTTGTCAAAAGCATTTGGAAATCTACAACCTGGATTTTCTGCAAATGTTTTTGCTTTACTCAAAATGCAAGTCAATTATATAAATGTCGATGAACGCAACTGTTGTCTTGAATTAGATGAGAAGTCTCTCAAGCAGCATATAGATTATGAAAGAGATCTCTAAATATTAAGATCTCTAAGATATTAAAAGTTGGTTTTCTACATGAAGTTTTGAAAATGCTAAAAGTCAGACTAGTATTTCCAGTCAGTAGGGACTTATAACAACAATAAACAACATTATGACATTATCTAGAGAGTTGCTTGATGTAGGTTTTCATTTTGTTTGCACATCACATTTCAATCAGGACTGTAAAGATAATTTTTTTTTTGGTTATACAAGTAAAGATGGTCGGAATGACAGACCAACAGCCAAACAGTTCAAATCTGCATACCAAAATGCTTTACTACTTCTGTTGAACAAACGAATTCTAATACAAATTGTGTTTCAGAATCTGATTTCACTGCAGCAATATCGTTAGAGTCATGTCTTAATTTAGTAAATGAACAAAGTAATGTAGGGAATAACTCATTATTCAATGAAACAAAGTCAACTCACATAGGCATTGTAAAACTTTTAGTACTAATAAAAGATTTGAAATATCTTGATACAAATATGTTCTGAAACTGTAGAGCAGGGTTTATGTTCTCTTGCTGGTTGGCTAATTAAAAAAGTTTGTTTATCTCAACCATATGCTGAAATTTGTGGTAATTTTGATGAATTTGTTTATGCTATGAAATGTGAAACAAAAAATCATTCAGTAGGACCAAGTTCTTGTTTATGTGAGGTTGTGAGGGTATTGGTAACCATTTTCACTAACAACATTAATAAAATAATTGTATGCAATAATATAGCAGGAACTATCATTAAAGCTATCAAAACTGCCATTTCGTTTTTTTATACAACCTTCATCCAAAACATGTATCACATTTGAAGAGAAAACTGATACACTATTTTGTTGATATTTGAATTTATTACTTCATCAATTTTTACAATCGTGACATAGCTCCACGGCTCGAATTACTCATTAATAGTAAAAGATTATATTTAGTTGAAAAATGTATTTATTTATTTATAATGTGTATTTATTTATTTATAATGTTCTAAATTGAAATTATAAATTCTAATACCCTTAAAATTTTTATATTATATATAAGATTAGGAAAATAAAAATAACAAAAACTTATTTAAAAGTATAAAAAAACGATATTGAAAACATATCAAAACTAGAAGGAATGTTTGAGTTGTTTTATACTAACAGAACTCAATAAACATTTCTTACAGCAATTGTATAAGTTTAGGCTACTAAATAAAATGTCTAAATATTAAGACATTTACAAAACTAAAATGTAGCCTCATTTTAGGGTTGTTAAAATTTTTATTATGTTTAGATGAAACCCTGATTGCTGTCTACAATGCAGTTATATTATAAACCTTCTAGCATACTGCAGAGGGTAGTTAAGAATTAAAACCTACATATATTGAAAAAAACAAAATTACTTCATTAAACAATGTAACATTTGTAACAATGTTACATTGTTAAAATGATTGTTACAATGATTTTTACATCATTTGTAAACAGTGTAGCAATATAACATTTTGAAAAAGCTGTAATATATAAGTATAAAATAGCATGGCATTTAATTTATGGCATTTAATGTTTGTATTTTTTTTTAATATTTTGAACATTAAAAATAAAATTGAATGTTATTTTTTATTGCTCAAAATATAACAAAAATACAAAAATTATATAGCTATAAAAAACTTTATACTAACATATTCCAGCATTTTTAAAATAAACCAATTAGTTTAAAAGTAAAAAAAGATTGGTACTACATCTAATTAAAGCATTATTGTTTAAAAATAAGTTAAACCATCTTTATAAAAGCATTATTCTGTCAAAACATCTTTACGTACGTATTATTGTTTACAAATCTGGCTGCACTAGACATCCCAGAATCCTCTTTGGATTATTGTTTTTGGATTATTGTTTTTTATGAATGTTCTGTCTTTTTAATAGTGTGTTTAAAAAAAAAGATGTTGCTTATATTATTTTTTGCTAAAGCCATGTACATGGAGGAGCGATAGCAACACATCATGATGAGATTACAGGAATTGTTGGATCTTTATTGGGAACATGTGTCACTGCCAATCTTAATATAAATTATAAGAGGTGATTTTTTTTTTTTTTTTTAAATGGCTTTTTACCTACAACTATATTTGAAAAAAATCAAACTACAATATTACGTGTTTATCATCGGTGGGATTCAAATTATTTATTAACAGGTTTGCACCCTCAAAACATTTGAATACCAATCCCCACATGCTTAAAAATAGTTCAATTACAAATTGCAATAATAATGGTAATAAAACCAGGACTTTTTTAAATAATTTGTAAAGATAATTAATGCATGTTGTGGTATATAACAAAGTGTTTTAAAAAAAATAGCCCATTTATTTTTTTTAAAGGATTTTTTTTTACTATCAAACTCAGTTTAGAACATTTGCTAATAATTTTGAGATATTTTCTAGGTATGGTAGATAGGTATTTTCTAGGTAGGTAGATAGGTATTTTCTAGGTAAATTCTATAATAATCAGTCTTCAAAGAAAGAGGGAAAACTGCAGTATTGCACGCAGCTGGTACTGCGAACCAAAATTTTGTAAGAACCAATGTCAACTAACTGAATTCCACTACTGATGTTGACAAATGCTGTATTCCATAAATTTTATAATTGTTATTTTCTTATATTAAATACTGGGGAAAATGTTTTTATAATACCAAGTGAACTTGTCACTACTTAAATATGAAGTGTTTTGAACCACAAAATTTAATACAAAAAAATGCACAAATTTAATTACTACACTAGAGCTCAGACAAATAATGAAATTGTTGTTATATTGTTAACATTAAGATATTTTCTTTATTAGAAGAAAAAGACAGTTTATTATTTTTGTACAGTGTTTTGTATTTAGAAAATTTTTTTGAATTTTTTATAATGCATTTTGAGATTTTTACTGGAGTTAGTAATTTTTTTATTATTTGTTTATACAGGGTTGTCATCAAAAAATAGAGCATATTTTTAGGTTAAGGAGTTGTCCAAAAATGTTTCTTTAGTCAAACTACTACAGCTTTTAATTTCATAATTGCCATTTTGACCTATTTAAATTGTCAGATTGCAGGACTTAAGTTGTTAATAATTTGACATCAGTATGATTTCTGTATTTTCAAAATCAGCACTAGCATTGATTATTGATATATTTATTACATTTTGTAGTTTTAACTTTATATTTAACCAATGCTAGCCTGGAATAGATAGATAAGAGTAGAGGAAAAAGTTTCGAAATTGACTGATAGTTTGAACTGGAGAAAATGCTTTTAAACAAAGAATTCAAATTTATTTCCCAGTTCAAAAAATTTATGTAAGTTATACAGATTATATTTCTGAAAGAAATTGTATGTAGTACTCATATTGTACAGTTATCAAAATTCAATTCACTTATTTTTAAAAACCTAATCAAAATATCATTATCTGCCTTTCTCTGATAATTCTTTTTTTTCTTTGAATTGACAATCTGATTCTTCATGAAAAAACATTACATATACACAGTTTCGATTTGTAAATTATTCAATTCCATATGGAATAAAACAAAACAAAAGTTTTTACTTGATGTAATGAATAAACAGATATTATGGTGACTCAAAGTAGCTATAATTGTATTAGTCTACATAAGAAACAAAAATAATAAATAACACAATAGTATACATAATGTAAATTTTATACTATAATTTGTATATATATATATATATATATATATATATATATATATATATATATATATATATATATATATATATATATATATATATATATATATATATATATATAGATAGATAGATAGATAGATAGATAGATAGATAGATAGATATAGATAGATAGATAGATAGATAGATAGATAGATAGATATAGATATATATAGATATACATGTAATGAACTAATAAAAAGATTGACCTCTTGATTAAGGCTTTATTTAACAATAATTGTACTAATCTAAAGATACAAGAAAATAGACACATATATAAAACAAATAGTTCAATAACAAAAAAATAGAAAACACAACAATCTTCCCATCTATGTAAACTAGTTTTGTCATTTTAAAATATAGTCATCATATTTTACAAGAGCTTTACAAGCTCTGGCAGAACGTCGTAATACATCAGCAAACGGCTTAGTTACTGGCTCATCTACCCTAACTCTGATTTCCGATGCAATTTCAGGTGAGGGGTCTTTATTTACATCAAGTACTTTCGCAGTTACATTCTCACTAGACTCGTTGATACTATTCTCATTGATATCATTAAACTTTTCTTTTGGGGCAGGATACGGTGCAAGATCTTGAAGTGAAACAGTTGACTCTCGTCCATCAGGGTAACGAATATTAGCATATGTTGGATTTACATCCACTAATTCAACCTTATCCACGAGATTATCGTTCTTGTTTGTACGCACAAAACGTCTTAGAAAAATTGGGCCAGAAGTTAACCATGAGGGTAACGAAGTTCCGGATGACGAGCGCCTAGGAAAACTGAATAATCTCTCATGGGGTGTACAATTAGTTGCAGTTGAAAGTAGCGAACGGAGAGCGTCTAATAGAACAATTTCCCAATTTCTAACATCTAGGTTGTGGGTTTTTAGTGCCAAACAAATATTTTTCCAGATCAAGCCATTATATCTCTCAACTTGTCCATTACTGATAGGATGATATGGGGTAGAATTACTAGTTGCAATTCCTTTCTGAGTAAGGTAAGATTTTAGTTCATTAGATATGAAAGATGAGCCTCTGTTGGAATGAATGTACGTTGGAAAACCACAAAAGGAGAATATTTGATCTAAACACTTCACAACAGTTGTTGAACTAATATCAGGACATGGGAAAGCAAATGGATACCGAGAATATTCATCAATGACTGTAAACAGATATTTATTTCTAGAATTAGATGGTAATGGTCCTTTAAAATCTATACTTAGGCGATCCATTGGACGTATTGACTTGATTAACTCACAGACATTTGAGGATCGATAAAACTTTGGTTTTAATTCTGAACAAATCTGGCAGTTAGAACAAACTCTCTTGACCTCTTCTGTAGAAAAAGGTAAATTTTTAGATTTAACAAAGTGAAGCATACGAGTAACCCCTGAGTGACATAGACAGCTATGTATACCACTTAGGTTTGTTTGAGATTGGGTTGTAGCACAAAAAGCACGTGTGAGTGCATCAGGGACGATATTATCGCTTCCAGGACAATATGATATAGTATAACTAAACTCTGCTAACTCCATCCTCCAGCACTGAATCTTACTATTTTTAATCTTTGTTTTCTTTCGCTTATCAAACATAAAAGCTACAGAACGCTGATCAGTAATTAATTTAAATTGATTCCGTAACAGTAAATGTCGCCATTTTCGAACGGCTTCAATAATAGCCACAGCTTCTTTTTCTACTGATGGGTAATTGATTTCACTTTTGCCTAATGCTCGAGACATAAAGGCAACGGGACGATCATTTTGATTCAAAGTAGCTGATACGGCTACATCTGATGCATCACATTCAACAACAAAAGGTAAGCTCTCATCAATAGAACTCAAAGTGGCAGCATGAAGTTCTCTTTTAAGAAATTGAAATGCTTCAAGTGTCTCACTATTGATAGGAAAGGATTTAACATTAATTAAAGGCCGAACTTTATTAGCAATTGAAGGTATCCACTTTGAATAGTAAGAAAACATACCCAAAGTTCGCCGAAGTGATAAAATGTTAGAAGGAGGAGGTAGTAAGTCTAAAGGACGTAATCGCTTAGAATCTGGTTTTATGTTGTTATGACTAACGCAATAACCAAGAATGTTTATAGAAGAAGCTGAAATAACCGATTTTGATTCATTTAAAGTTAGACCCCAACGTTGTGAAGCGTCTTGAAACCGCAGACAATTTTTATTATGATGTACCTGATCATAACCACCAATGGTTATATTGTCAAGATATGGAAAAGTGTCATGTAACTTTTCTTCTTTAACAAACTTGTCCATAGACCTTTGGAACATAGACACACCATTAGTAACTCCAAATGGAATCCTGCAAAATTGAAATAGTTTTCCATTTGCCTCAAATGCTGTATACTTTTTGTCTGAAGTTTTAATAGGGATTTGGTGGTAAGCACTTTTCAAGTCGAATGTAGAGAATACTTTGTACTTTGCAAGTCCATTTATCATATCATCTATTCTGGGAAGAGGATATGCATCTAACTCAGTGTAAAGGTTAACTGTTTGAGAGTAATCAATACAAAGTCTTTTTTTGTTAGATTTTGTAAGATCCTTTACAACCACTACCTGGGCTCTCCATGGTGAGAAACATGGCTCAATTATACCATCTGATAATAACTGTAGTATTTCACTTTCAATAAAGCTTCGATCATCATTATTGTATCTTCTTGATTTTGTAGCTATTGGCTGAGTTTTGTCTGAAATGCTTGTAAACAAGGATGGTATTTTTATTTTTGCCATTTGCAGTGCACATAGGTTACTTTCCTTTGTGACAATTAAGTCTTCTTTTTCTCCACCGAGTGGGAATATTAAATTTTTGTGTAGTTTTTGGAAGTCGTAACCAAGTATGATATCACTACAAAGATTTTTTAAGACACCAAATTGAACATTATTATAAAATAAACCATTTACTTCAAGATTAACCGAACAACAGCCCACTAATCCAGACTCCATTGTTGTGAGGGCCATCAAAATTTTCTTTTTACTGGGTAACGTTTTAATTTTTAAAGTCTCTATAATTTTCTTGCTTATAAAATTATCTGAGCTACAGGAATCGATCAGTGCAGTTAACGGTTCATCATTAATTCTGACAATAACAGCGGCATGAGAGAGACTCAACGGACAACCACTTGAAACAGTACACAAACTTGGTTTATGTATTGCAGCTGAAACACTGTGGGTTATATTCATCAGTCTGCCAAGACAAACTTTCGAAAAATGACCTTTTTTTCCACATTTAAAACAGGTTACATTTTGAGCTGGACAATTTTTCCTAGCAGAGGTTTGATTACGTTGGTTGTGAGATGGATTACCACAATAAATGCATTTTGTTTGAGGATTAATAGTCATAGCATTGAGTGCTGCTGAGGGTTCTTCTGGTAATTTTATAGCGGCAGCAATATTTAAATTGGAGGAAAAGGAGGATGTTTTCTGCATATAAGAATCTGAGTTTCTTTGTGCAATGTCAAGAGAACGAGCTTGGTTAAATGCTGATTGCAAATTCAATGTTGAATTTTCAAGAAGTCGTTGACGAATGTAATTCGAATTTATTCCAGAAATAAAAGCATCTCTTATTTGTTCCTCTCGATATTGTTCACGTGAAACATCCTTGTAATTACAGTTTTTACTGAGTTTACGTAGTTCCTGAAGAAAGTCTTCTAAGGATTCACTCGATGTTTGATGCCTTGCAAGTAATTGATGCCTTGCAAAAATTTCATTAGGGGTTTTTATATATAAGTTTTCTAAGGTTTCAATTACACTTTCATAGGAATCACACTCTTCAATGTAATCATAAACATTTGATGAAACAAAATTAATGATAGAGCGAAATTTGTCTGGAGCATCCTCTCCACAATCTTCAATGAAATTTTCAAATGTTCGTTTCCAATGCTTCCATTCTTTTGAAGCAGTTGGTGCATTATGATCAAGATCAAGTCTCGTCGGTTTTAAGATCTTTGACATTTCCCAATAATTTTATATGTTTGTTAAATAAATTGTAATGAACTAATAAAAAGATTGACCTCTTGATTAAGGCTTTATTTAACAATAATTGTACTAATCTAAAGATACAAGAAAATAGACACATATATAAAACAAATAGTTCAATAACAAAAAAATAGAAAACACAACAATACATATAGATACATTATATATCAATATATATAATATATCAAACCCTCCTCATAAAATATTCAAATAAGTTTATAAATAAAGTCTTTTGGGTGTTTTACAAATTTGTGAAGATACTTCATAGGATTCAAATTATCTTCAACTTTCTTTTCTGTAGTTAATGAAATTTCATCGCTTTGATAGTCTGTAGTTTCTTGACCATTAGGCAATCTCATATATGTATAGTAAGGATTTGCTTCAATGAGCTGTACCTCCTTTACAGAATCTTTTTATTTACTTTGGAGCATATTTTTCTTCATTAATACAGGTCCTGGGTTAATTAACTATGGAGAATTGACAATGGGAGAACGAGACAAGCTTGGCAGATATAGCAGGTCCAACTATATATACAATGCATTTTTGGATCTTGTCTAAAAGAGAAAGAGCACCATTAGAAGAACCAGCCTAAATTCAACAATAGTGTTCCATGCAGAGACAAATAAGAGATTTGTTGAGTTAGAAATAGGAATAAGGAATGGCAAGCACAATAAAGATAAGCAACTTTAGCAGATGCTAACTTTGAAATCAATTGTATTAATGGTTTTCACAAGAGGTCAGTAGTGAACAATAATCCAAAATGGTGTAAAGAAGAGAACTCTGGTAGGGTTGCCATTTAAATACCGTAAATAACTGAGTTTTGTTAAAGTTTCAATTCCTAAGCCACTGCAAGCCCCAAGATTGGCTGTCTGTTCTAAGCAATTAAAAAGAGAAGACTTTTTGTTAAGACAGGAGTATAAAGATGAGTCTTTAGCAAATAGGTGCACTTTGTAAGGTTGTCAGGAAGATCATTAATGTAAATAAAAAACAAAACAGCATGATAAAATCTTTCAGTCACAGCAGTTAGCAAGTCAGCCTCAGAGTGAAAGGATCGAAAACCGTATTGACTGTCTGTCAGAAAGTTATTTGCCTCAAGCTGGGATGTGAGAAATTTGTTTATCAAAGACTCAAAGACCTTGCTAATAACAGAAAGAAGACTGATCAGACAATAATTGGAGGGGTCAGAATATTCATCGAAGATTTTGAAAATTGGAACAACAGATGCCATTTTCCAGCAGGTAGAAAAACAAGCACTTATTAAATACTTTAGAGAGAAATGAAGGGAATTCTGGAGATTAATTTTGTAAGACTATGACAGAAATGTTCTCTGGACCACAAGCTGTAAAAGAGTTTAATTGAGATATGACTTTGGCAACAGAAGCTAGAGTGATTTGAATATCTATCAATAAGTTAATCTGTTTATATGAAATGGAGTTCCATGAATGAGAGATGGAATGTTCTTCCTTTGTTAATGACGCTATTGAAGATTTTCCAAAAGTCTCTAGGGACTAATTTCTGAGATAAGATAGTAACCTCCTGGATTCAGGAAAATCCAGGAGGTTACGTAGTTTGCAGCCCCCTCAAATTGAGGGGGTTTTTAACTTTATATGGTCATAATTTTTGAACGCTGATAGATAATACTATGAAACTTAAAATTTATCGATAAATTTAAGTCTAGTTGAAAATAGTACAAAAACTATTTCATCAACTTGTTGCTCTCACGTTTGGGGCAAAGTTTTGGGGTTTTTATGTTCCCAAGCTCCAATCATCGTAATTTTTTGCAAATTATCCTTTTAAATGATTGGAGTTTGCTTCATGTCTGGAAGTTAGCTATCTCAAAGATCAAAAAATCCTGGCGCCGCCAATGCTCTCTGAAGTATTTATTAGTTACACATTTTTTCAATAAAACATTAGAAGCAGAAATTAAAAAGAGAAAAAAAGCTTTAAAATCAAATGTGCTGCTCTCCTTGGCACTTAAGCTAAAATTTTGTTCAATTAATCAATATATTTTTTACAAAAGAAAAATACTGTTAACAATATTAGTATAAATATTACAATAATCTTTCTGTGAATGGACAATACAAATAGTACAAGACTAATACAAAGCAAAGACCTTGTAAGAAAACAAACAAACAAAATAATATTCTAATGGTATAATTTGATGAAAAGAAAAAAACAACAACTACTACTACTACTACTACTACTACTACTACTACTACTACTACTACTACTACTACTACTACTACTACTACTACTACTACTACTAATGATAATAAAAATAATAATAATAATAATAATGATGATGATGATAATAATAATAATAATAATAATAATAATAATAATAATAATAATAATAATAATAATAATAATAATAATAATATAACAGAAAAACACAACACATCAACTAAAGAAACATAGCAACTAAAGGAATAATAAATGATAATATGTAATACATATTATCTCCTAATATCGAGAAAAATAAGCCTTACAGAGTAAAGACAAAAATTATTGAATTATAGTAAGATAAAAGGATGAAGAAAAAATAATGATATTAACTAAATATATAATATAAATACTAATAAATTTAAATATAATAATAAATGCTAAGTATATAAATAATTATTTAATGAAGTTTAAACATTAGGGATTTTTTTTTACATCTTCGCTTCCAACAAGGCTGCAAGCAACCACTATTAGAGTTGGAAGTTATAGAGCAAGATAACAATTGACAAATGACTTAAAAAAACTGCAAATTATATGAATCAGGAAAGCAAGATGAAGGATGCGAATTCCAAAGGACTGATGTTCAAAGAAAAAAAGCAGATATGGCAACAGTATTCCATCCAAGGACGGATTTGAGATTTATAGAGATAAAGAATAGAATCCGGAGTAAGAAAGTTGCAAGCACGATAAAGAGATGCAACCTTAGCAGATGCTAATTTTGTAATGGATTTGATATATGGTTTTCAAGAAAGATCAGAAGTAAAAGTTAATTCTAGAAGATGAAGAATAGATGACTCATCAAGTACATTACTGTTCATTAATAAAAGATCTAAATTATTGAAATAACAATTGGCTGAAAAAAATTAAGTTTATCTAAATTAAAGTTCACCAGCCACTGTGAGCTCCATGCTGCAGCAGAAATGAGATTCTTTTCAAGATCAAATGCTCCCTCCAAGCAATCGGAGAGTGTTGGCTTATCAAGACAAGAATAAATTGTAGTATCATTAGTGAACAATGCCACCTTAGATTTGAGAATATCTGGAAATTGTTAATGTAAATTAGAAAGAGTATAGGGCCAAGTATAGAACCTTGAGGAACCCCTGAAGTTACAGGATATGTAGAAGTGTTACAAAAGCTGTCCGTCGAGAACAACATTTATACTACAAATGCAAAGGAAGGATTCAATAATCTTAAAAATGTTACTTGATAAACCGTAAGAAGAAAGCTTATGGAGAAGAACAGCATGCCAAAATGTATCAAAATCTTTACAAATGTCAAGAGTGATAGCTTTGACCTGTCCACCTTTATCTAATGCACAATAAAACCTATCGGTTACTACTGTTAGCAAATCAGCTGTAGAACGAGAAGATCGAAATCCATACTTATGATCAGAAAGTAAGGTATTAGATTCAAGATGAGAGATTAAGTGTTTGTTAATTAAAGACTCAAAAACCTTGCTTATGATAGGAAAATGACTAATGGTAGTCAGATGAATCAGATCGCTCTCCATAATTTTTAAAAGTAGGGATAACAGATGTTGCTTTCCATCATCTTATTTTCCAAACAAGACTGATCATATTTCAAAAGTAGTTATTAAAAAAGTTTATAATCAATAACTAAATTATTAGAAATATTGAGTTTTATTGATTGACTTGATTTTTTGTTATTGAGTTTTATTGATTGACTTGAGTATTATTGATTGACTACTGATTGGCACAAAGTAGTTTTGTTAGTTATTAGTTTACAGATGTTTATTAGTGCCTCAATTTTTTTCCATGTGCTTTTTAAATTGTACAAGTTAGATCTAAAAAAGTTGTATAATAGTTTTACTGACTTTTATTAAATTGCTGATTTTGTTTCTGTATATTTTGAATAAATAAAATGTTTTTTCTCTTAATGGAGTTGATGAATGAGTTAAACTATTTTTATATAGTTTATCCTTTACTTATATTGACTTTAGAATTCCTTGGGTTATCCAAGGTTTATTTTTGCACTTTTTTTTTTTATAAGAGGTTTAGATGGGGCATGTTTATTTAGAAATTTTTGAACATTATCTAAAAATACGGCTGTTGGTTAGTTGGCACCAGTTAATCTTTTTAAGATCATTTAGAAAGTTATTACTTTTGCATATTTTACATAGCAAACTTTTCACTGATACTTTTACAGACGAATTTTACAGAATATAAATGAGATTAGTCTGTTTATATTTTATATATTTGAGTTTATGTTATTGTGTGAAGTGTTATTTTTGACTCATCCAATGTATTGAGATATGAAGAAGAATAGTAAAAACTGTGGACAACAAAGACGACAAAAGAGTAAAGAGTAATATTTTAGGGAAATAGAGGGAAGTTAAAGAATAGTTAACAATAATGGTATAAATATATTTAATATCATATGAGCATCAAGATAAGATGAATTATATGCATTTATAAATTATTTAACATTGTAATTTGATAAATAGAGTATATGCTCTATACTATATAGTATTAAATATAAATAAAAGCATAATACTATTAGATATAAATATGATTCAAAATATAGTTATATCACTTTAAGATGAATATATGCGATAAATAATGTATGTACAACAAAATAATATATATTTACAACAAAATAATATATATTTATTTAAAATTTTACAAAATACAAAACGATTTTAAATATAATAATACATTATTTTATAATTCTCTGAGATTCTTTGAGTTAATTATTTAGTACTTTTCAGTCTGTTTAATTTTTTTTTTCACCCCAATAATTCCGTGTAAAATTATATAAATAAACATCGCTCTCTTAAACATGATAGCAATTTTAAAAATCTATTTTTCCGAAATATAATACATGCAAAATATTATATATATAATAAATAATTAAATATTATACATGCAAAAAT